TGGGCATACAAAAACAAAAAGATTCAAAAAATGAGGAGATATGCTCATGGCAAAATAAGCATTTCAGGGAGCTCGTTGAAAAATTAACAAGTTCAGTGCTCAAACAATCCAGCTATGGAATCTAAATTAATTTCTAAGAAATCCTTTTAAAATCCATACAACCTAAACAAAGCTCGGATAACAGCATATGATCAATTTCGATTGGAAAACGAATCAAATTGCAGGAGAATCCGCAACTATCATGCATTTAACAATCAAAGAGCACATTCTCAAAATGAAATAGGCAGAAACGATTTAGATGAAAATCAACCCAAGAAACTATGATAAGGATTGCACGAGAAACATGCATGGCAAGCACTGAGCCAGACGCCCTGAGGGAGCGATCGATAAGGTGAAAGCAAGATAAACCAGCGCACAATATTCTTCCAAAAACTATAACCTTAAAAATGATCATAAATAGGTGCACCATCCAGGGAAGACGCTACTGGACTGCACAGTCCACTAAAGTCCCCCCTAAGTGATGGAAACAAAAGGTGATGTAAGATGACGCGAATGGCAAGGAGAAAGCCGAGCTCACTTTCATTTTACGGCTAAGCTCGAAAAAGGATTTTCATCTGATCTCAGCAAACTTATCAGCACATGTGCGTATGCTTATAGGTCGTGGAAGTGAGAACACAACACTCAACTCTTTTTTCCATAAAAATTTTTGCGATAGCAGTAGGAGTTAAACTCTGTGCATGGGTGGACGAATTAATGGGTAACATCCATGACAGCCGGCTCATCACACCTGCCTCGAACTACTGATTTATTTTAAAATGGTAAAGTCGTAACTAGAAGAAGTAGTTGGATGAGAAACTTCAAAAGAGGATAACGACCACATTAAAACGTTTAACTAAGAAGAGTCGGCGTAGTTCTTGTGGATATCTCCATAACAGGGTGAGACAATTGGAGTGTCTCAATCTATCATGGAAAAATCCACAATACAGAAGTGCAACAACAACAGTGCAGAAATTGTTCTCATCGATTCACTCATAATTCAAAATGATATATCACAATCGAATAGATGGATTCAAGGGAAAAAATGTTTAACTTCAAGACATTAATTTCGATTTTCCGCTGCAAAAATTGAGTAAGTTACCTAAATGTCATACTTCATTGCTTAGTTAGGTACTGCCCACTTTCCATTTTTCTGGACGGTTACATTATCAGGCGATCATGTGTATTTTAGAATTTCAACTAAATGACAACTTAGCAAAATCTTATAGCTGGAATAGCAAGCCTGTTTGCTCTCCGTCATGTGTAGGATGATTACTGACCTTTTGAATTATATCCAAGTACTGATAAAATGCTGTTGCACATTGCATTGCTCTTAAATACGATCTATAATACAAATGTAGGGAGTGATAGTGGTTGAATCGAAGCAGTACCGAAATGAAAGCTCAACAAAACCGCAAAGGTTGTCGTGAATCCAGGGTTAGAGCTTTGTGTTGAACTATGATCATTCACATAGTTATTGAAGTTTCTTATACGAAACTTGACTGCAACCTATAATTATACGAAAGCCAATTCAAGTGCAAAAGCTATTACGGCCACTGGGACCCAAGTGCCCCAAAAGTG